CCTTGGCGCCACTACTTTTTCCAACAAAGTCTGTATAAACTCGATTACTGGGGCTACTCAAAGCCCTGTTTACGAAAATGACATTCATTTCTCGCCGTGGCGCCATTTGGCGCCATTAGGTGCCAATTTCGCGCCACTTGCGCCACTTTGGCGACACGACCTTTCTCAAAAAAATCTGTATAAACTTGCATAATGGGGTTTCTCGGTGCCCTGATCACGAATGTAACATTCATTCCAGCCATGGCGCCGTTCGGTGCCATTTGGTGCCAATTTGGCGCCACTACTTTTTTCACCAAAATCTTTATAAACTCGCAGCCTGGTTTGTGGAATGGTCACGTGATCGTCTTTTGCAGAGCATACATAAATCACGTGAGCTTGCGGCGCTGGGGCTCTGCGCTCACCATAGCCGCAGTTCACGTGAACAGGACACTGAATAGCCCTAGTAAGCAAGTTTATTCAGATTTTGTCGAGAAAAGTTTTTAGCTGGCGCCATTTGGCGCCAGTTGGCGCCAAGGTGGCGCCAAGTGGCGCCAAATGGCGCCAGCTAAAAACCAATATTCTAGAATATGAGCATACCCTCGGATAGAGCTCGGCGAGCTGATTCTAATCATATATGGGTATCTATACAAAAAGTCAACAGGAACAGCTCTATAACGAAAAAACGAAAAAAAACGCGGATCGGCGTTTTTTTTTTCGTAATTTTTTGAACACTTACGGCGGGTACTGTACCATGATAACTGTCTTCTGTAGGCAAGGTATGCAACCACGGGAATCCTGCTACTGTCACGACTGAAAAATACGAGGTAACAACATAAAGGGCTCGTAAATTAGGCATGCCCATGCCAACTCAGAACGGAAAACCTCTCGGCCGATTGCCGCTGCCTGGTGAGAGGAGCCCAAATGTAAGTACTTAAAAAATGGGGAAATAGCAAAAGATTTATTGATGAAAAGAGAAATGATAGGGAAAAGGACTGTGCTTCGTTCTTTTCGCGTGCACCTTCTGAAATATTGAAAGCTCGATTCCACGAAGTGTGAGCGGCTTTTTTTTCTGAAACGCCAGACACTTAGCACATTTACTCCCATTTTCGAGTGCGATACACCTACAAGGGACCTCACAAGGGAGGTCTTTCAGAGCTCCTATCTGAAAATGTTGTTGTATGTTCCAGAGGCACACACGGGGATTGCTAGGGCGTAGGTCGTTTTTGCTGCACCTATCTGATGATGTGAAGACGGGGTCAGAAAGCCTGTACGAGTTCATGGCGAGCTCGGTGACCGAAAATTCGGGTGTTTTTTTTGGACACACTTCTGTCGGACTCCAAAAGTCTTCCCGTGCGTTTTCCTCCATGCGAACAACAAGAAAAACGAAAAATTCCAGAAACGACAGGGAATCTACACCGTCTTGAGGGGATTTCGAAAGACTCGGGTTCAATCCTATTTCGTCTTGTCTTTCCCAGAGGAGCGCCCTCAGCAAAAACAATAACTCATACTACATCTGATGAGGTTCACGCCACGAAAACTGTTTACTAATGCCAAGCAAACCGTTCCGAAAGTAGGACTTTCACGCATTTGAGAAGATCCCCGTTTTTAGCTAAGCCATTCTAAGACAATGAAGACATCACTCTCTAAGCATAGTATGCCCGAACTGGGTGCTAGTCCTTACCGAATGCCGATGGTGTCCTTCTTGGGCTCGGAATGAGTTACTAAAACTCACCATCAGATAAACTTTCTTCATCACCGTACCTTGCCTTCGCCTTCTTCATGGAGTCTTTCTAGGAAGTAAACAATCTGACTTTTTTTTCCATCTTATTTCCATTCCAGAATGAGTTTTTCCTCGGCAGCGAAGTATTCATGCTGTATCTGCTTCCCCCATTGGTATTTGATGCAGGTTCGTGTCCTTTTACCAAATGTTAAGATTTGAATTTCCTCCAAAGCCGTTAAAAACAGCGGTATACACTGCATCCAAGACAATATGTGAGGCTTCTCGAGCCTTGGAAGCCACTTATGTGTCTTTCCGAAGGGTGCTGACAATTCAGGAAAGTGATCTGAGAAACGCTGTCACAGTGACAACGCACAACTCTCATTTTTCGTAGGACTACTTCAGTAATCATTTTGGTCATAACTCCTATGAGTTGATTTTCTGAACCGTTAAAGCTTTTAGGTTATTTCATGCCGGCACGACAATTCTTCGACAATCTTGGCTCCATTTTATGTTTTGCAATGATAGGAACCACCTTCAACATTGTAGCCATCGGTTTGTAGGCTGGGTTTTTATTTCCGTAAATTTTTAACTGAGATGCGTATAGTACTGCGATTTCTTCAGAAAAATGAAATATATCTGGAGGATACAACAGTTTGTGCTAGATTCCAAAGCATAAGCAGCTTTCAGCGTTTTCCTGCCTGTTCCTTACATAATTCGTTTTTTTTTCTGTTAGCCGGTTCGTCCGGGAATTCTGCATTATGTGGTGGATGGAGAGGTCGGACAACGGTCTTCATAGGAGAAGGGCAAGGTTTCCAGAGCAGATGATCGAACTCGGCCACGTGAAGTGGGACCCACGCCAAGGCGGGCGGGCGGAAATCAAAAATGCGTGACTCAGTTTCAGAACAGTTCGGGACCAGTAAAATAGGCAAACGTGAACAAGACAATGGATAAGTAGCACATACGTACTGTTTAGATAGCTCAATAAATGGGCATCTGTGCGAAAATTAATTAATGTTGTGGTACCGCTTCACGATTAAGAAAAAAATATGCATGAAGAAAAGGAATGTACAGTCCTCATCATTACGGACTGTCGGGGCGGCACAGCCGCGCTGCACTGTGACGCGACAGCGGCTCGGTGACGGTGAATCAGCTGATTTCGATGGAATTCGGCTGCAAATTCCTACTTTTTCAGCTCTTCAAGTGGAAGGTGAGTTATTCTGAACAATTTTGAATTGTACTGGCTCTGATTTCCTTTATTTTTATGTCGATTATTATGCTCTTTTCCTTGTATTTTGCCTTATTTCAGGCATTTATTCAAATGGCTTACATTCTTTCAGATTCATTCAGAGTCAGTACAATTTAAAAAATTCACCTTAAACCTTCCACTTTCGAATTACTTGAAGATTGAAAAAGAGGGATTCGCACAAGCAATTCCATGGAGAATCAGCTGATTCGCGGTCACCGAGCCCGCAGCGCGTATCGCGTACACATTGCAGGGCGCCAAGGACAGCCCGTAATGCATAGGACTGTATTGAGTGAGTCAAGAATTGTATAACAAGATGGCGACCGTCCAACAATGGCGAAGGGGGTTGATTTTAGCGCTGGGCTAACCCGTTCCTTTTTCTCCTTTTTTTCTTTCGGCAAGCGAAAAGGCTGCTTCGTATCATTCTCGTCAATCGTTTTTTACAAGTTGTTGTCGCTTATCCTCTTCAATAAGTGGTGGAGAACGGGCAAGGAGCGCCTCCATCCTTCACCGACACATCCCTTCATCCGCACTGAGCAAGACTGTAAGTCCGTCCAATCCTCACTGACAAGCCCCTTGGCTAGCGAACAAGAACCAAATTGTTGTGTCCCCTTTCCTCAAGATGAGGAAACTGAAATAAAAAATCTACTCTGTGATACTGTTAGGAGACCGTCAGGAGAGTGGAGTGCGAAGTGTGAGCGGCGGGACCATCTCATCAGCTAATACAGATGCATGAGCTGAAACTAAATTAATTCATAAGGTGTCGGTCGATTTCGGTTTTGTTAAGAATGGTTACTGATCTGTGGCCTTGTGTGAGTGCAGTCTACAAAATGATGTCTGATATAGGTGCTATCAGAGCTCTTCAAAAGGCACGGTCCGTATGGAAATCCTAGTGATGATAAAGGATAAAGGATAAAGTCTTCGCCGTTGATCAATCCCTTTGTGGGATGCGGCACGCATTCTACTTCCATTCAGAATCGTAGTGGCTTATTGAATGCGATGTGGCCTATACAATGACTTGCGGTGGCCAGCCGATGTACAAGTCTTATCCTCCCAGACGAATCTGGTACCAATTTACCGTCCCCGGAGGGTAGAAGGCTTGGTTGGCCTGGGCGGGAGTCGACCCGGGATTCGAACCCGGCGCCGCGCGAGTGGTAAGCGCGCCACTTGTCACTACACCACCTCCGCCTCGATGTTTCATAAATGTGGAAGAAAATTCGCCAAGTGAACCGTCTATGGGGAGAAAATGCCAAAGGGAACGTTGGAAACGCATTCGTCAGGCCTCCTCTAGCCTCAAACAACTGTAGAGGTAAAAGACCGAAAAGACCGCGCGCTGGGACAATTCCCGTCGGCTGATTCCCAGTAATGAACCCTATGACTCTACAAGAGACATTGAATGCATCCACTCCATGATACTTGCCCGGGAGCATTACTTTTGGCTGGAAGGCCGACTTTGGAGGCGGAGTCTGGAGGCGGAGTCACTGGAAAAAGGGATGTACCACTGAAGCAACTTTGCGCCTTAATCCCTTTACCGTACAACTTTCCGCCGCGAAACTGGCACAGGGTTGTCCACTCCGGACCGCACTACCTTCCCACATAACCTCTTGCATTTTCATAGGTCATCGCGGACCGTTTCTTCAATGAAGTCAAGGGTGACGCAAAAAAGGTTCTCCTGCTTTTTATGTGAAATCATAAAAGAGGCTCTCATTTCTGGGCTTGATTGATCTGATCTCCTGATCATCACATTTTCTCGTCAGTTGCTAAAACTTATCTCGCTCTGATCATCTTTGCGCCACACACCGAGCCACCATTACTTATCACTTTGGATTCATAGTAATCATATACCTGCTCCAAGCAACATTGCCATGAATTCACAACTGGACTTGGCTAAGGCAATAATTAATATGTACTATTGCCAATTTTGTCAAGAGTGTTCAGACACGTACTAGCTTTCCTCTGTAAAGCTTGTATTACGAAATTGCTTCTAGACTTTGCAGTGAAGGTAATCGGAAGATCACGTTCAATTTTCTTTTCAGCGCTTTCGTTGTGGGCTATTTCTCTAACGGGTTTGTTCTCCGTGGAAACTCCGCTCATTCATTTATTGCTGTTCGGTTCTGTTGCTGCCGACGTCGACCCAGTTGCTGTAATCGTCATTTTTGAAGAACTAGGTGTGAGTGTTCCACTTCAAATCGAGAAATACCTGAAAAAGTTCTCTCAGCAAAAATTTGACTGTAAATTATTCTCCCCAAACTATGGTCGCTTTAGAATAGTGGGTACCTTATACACAAGCTTCCTGGTCAAACTCTAAAGCTGCTAAAGTGCCTTTACAACTTTGTGGCCTCATAAGATTGTGCGTATGACCACAATATACGAATCGAATTAGTGTTTCCTTACATGCGTAAAGAACGCTTCACTAATTTAGGCTCGTGCATGTTTCCCGATCCTTGTTATCAGCTAAAGCGTGCACCAGCGTGGGCTGTAAATGGGAATAATCCACGTTGAGACTATGAAGATTATCTTTATTGGTCGATTCTACCCTAATCAAGGGTAGGGACAAACGCTGCAAGAGTTTTCTCCCCACATGAATACGCTCTAACGGTTTTCTACCAGTCTCATTTTCCGAAGCGGTGCACAGTGTTTTTTTGGAGGAATGGAGGGGGTGGCTGTTCAACGATGCTCTAACTCATAAGGCACGACAATTGTAGTGACTCGGTCGCTAAATGTAAGAGAAGGCTTCATAAGATGGTGAAAAAACGGAGAAAAGTAAGTGTGAAACATAGGGTTGCAAAACCTGCGAAAAAGCCTTGTTCTACAGTGACCAGAAAGCGATTTTCGGACGAGTTTGCAGTGTGAGATCGGGCAAAAACCGCTACTGGTACGATTGTCATGTACGGTACTCACTAGTATATAACACCGCGCAGCAGCATTCTTTCGCCCATCACTGACCTTTATTATACTTCGCAAATGAAAGCGATAGCGCACACCAATAATCGGTCGCCACATTTGGAGGCGGACCGGGCGATGCCGACGTCCGGCCTCATGTGGTGCCAGCTTTGATAGTGCGCGTATAGCTGTGCTGTCTTCCTCAGAAATGGCGCCACGCAGCGCCTGCTCAGGGGGCCAAATTCTCTCCCGCCAGGCATATTTATCCTACACGCCTTGTGGATTTACGTGGCCTTTGACAATAACCAACGTTATGCTGTCCTGATGAGAGGATTGTGTGAGAGCCTCATATGTTCTTACGCTAAGGCCTTTCAGATGATGTATGGTGCTCATCATTGCAGCACCGGTGGGGGGTGAGCCGGCGGACGCGTACGACTCGGCTGGTGGCGCGACTGTCATCGCTGCCGCGTCACAGCCGAGTCACACGCAGCGCGGCTCACCCGCCCCACCGGTCTTCAGTGATGAGGACTGTACGATGTTTCGGTGAGAAGGTGCATGTTCCGGCGTTTATGTGGTTAGGACGCCAAGGGTTCAGCGACGTGAACAGCAGCACAGTTCTTCATGCCGCACCGCCGCAAGTTCGTACCCGCTCGCTGCATGATGACCCGGTGCGGGGGCTGGATGCACCACTTTCCTTGCTCTTGTATGCGCAGAGGTGTGCTCCTCGCTTGCGGTCGTCTGGCCTGTTTATCTTATCCCGTGGCCTGGCGTCTCAGTAAATCTCATTTCACCGCATGCGCTAAAATTGACCGGACTTCAGTTGAAAAGTTTTTGGCCTGCTTTCTTCCTTCCTGCTTTTCTCTTCATGGCTCATCAAGTTGCGCTTACAATTTCACACTTGGACCTGTTTACTTACGACTTACATCGAGGAGTGTGTCTTCAAGGAGGAGAGCCTTATTCAATTCATGAAGGAAACCCATAGAAATATTCTGTTTAGCCAAGACTGTTTTTAAAACTTACTAGAGGCAGTTGAGATAATTACGAGTTGTTTCAGGTCAACGAGATCCTATTCATTAGCGTTTTCGGTGAATCGCTGCTCAACGATGGTGTTGCTGTTGTGAGTGCTCATTGTTATGATTCTTATCTTTAGAATTCCCGAGGGAACAGAACAGCCGTGTGGAACGTATTCAGACTGTAAAAGCGCGTACTTGTAGCATTCCCTGAGTTTTAAGTAATACGGGGGAGGAGACCATATAGTGGCAGGAGGCGCCACTCGTCGCGCTTACAGTCAGGAGGTCAAATCACGTATCCTCTCGCCTCTCTCTGGTAAACCCCGAGAAGGTGAACTGGTACCATATTCACATAGTACAAAAGACAGTGACATGCACATTGACTGGCTCCCGCAAGCCGTTGCATTGATTGAACTGCAGTTAAAATTCACTACCATTTTGAACGAAAGTGGTATGTTTGCGTGACCCCAAAGAAGGATTGGTAAGCCGTGGAAGCTTCAGCTTTCATCCTTCACAGTGACACAACCATGACGCGCCTTAGTTTCACCTACAACACGGTAACCTAAGCAACTGTTCCGCTTCATTCCTTACTACTGACAATTTTCGGACCATACTGTGCAAAAAACGGATGAAAGAATAAAGTGCCTATTGTTGCATCAGGCATTTCGAGATGGGGTTCATCCTGTTCCCACCTAGTAGCGGCTTATTCACGAAAAGATTTACATGAGGGCTCCCTTGGGAAAACTGATGGGCATGCTGGTATTAGAGACCTGAGATTTGACCTTAGGAAAGCTTGTGGTATGTGGCGCCACTTACCCCTATGTAATTTCCTCACAACACTCCTTCCGTCCTTCTAAGAATACGTACTGCCGTTAAGGTGTTCTACCGCATGTTTGTATCATTCACTGAAATTGGAACGGAGAACCTTATTACCATGGACTATGTGAATGGTGCAATTTCGTACTTGGTTGTCTGCTTTGGAGGAATTGGAGTTGGAATTTTAGTGGCCCTATGTGCTAGTTTTATAACAAAGTAAGTACTTTCCAAAATAATTTTTTAGTGATACTAACAAGCGCAGGGAGTATATGCTCAAGCACTTCTCGCGAGCTGTTGAGAGATTTCCCTGCACTTTTTGAGAACTTGGAATTTCCTCATGAGATCAACCTTCTAATGAACACGGGCTCCGATGCCTATTGACCCAATTTATCCTATAGCGTGCTATTGCAGATATACCCATCACGCAGAGGTTACAGTGCTCAATCCAGTATTTGTCATAGTACTACCTTTTCTTTCCTATCTAGTTGCGGAGATGTTCGGCTTGTCCAGTATTATGGCGTAAGTTAATAGGATTATTTTCCCATCACATGTATTGAACGAACTCTTTAGCATCGTCTTCTGTGGAGCAGCAATGAAACAATATGTGAAGGCTAACGTTCCAGAGCAAGCTTTACTCTCAATTAATTACTTTATCAAGGTAAGTCTGCCACTGAAACGGTCGAAAAGCAATACTAGCAGTTGCGCTTGCTAAATTCGGGTCGGGTAATTAGGTTGCGCTCATACTTCTTGGCAGCGTCAGCGACTCGGAAGGAGATATCGATCTAGCGTCTCCCTTATGCGCCAGCGTCTACCAGCGTCTCGAGGGCTAGAGAACTATGGGTATCGATCTAGCGTCTGCCAGCGCGTACCAGCTTGCGGTAGAGGAGAGTATGGTGCGATAGGATAGCAGACAGCTGGTAGAGCATGAGGAGATAGGAGAGCAGCAGACAGAGACCCTCCTATCGCGCAACACTGTCCTCTCTCGGACGCTGGAGGACGCTGGCAGACGCTTGATCGATACCCACAGTTCTCTACCCTTCCGCTGTCTTACGGTATTGGTCGCTAGTGGACGCTGCCGCAAAGTATGGAGCAGGCTTGAAAATCACTAATCGAGCAAGTAGCGGATATTCTCTAGCTAGTAGAATTAACACGCGCAGCATCGAAAATCTTTATACCACTACATGGGGTATTTTTAAACTTTTGAGCACCCTTTGGTTCAAATCCCCGTTAAAACGGATCTACATGTTTTTGGATCTTAGCTCGTGAAAGATTATCAAAATTAATCGGCTACGTGAAGTGAACTCAGTGAATTACAGGTGCTCTCTATGTGCTCAGAGACAGTGATATTTGTGTTCCTCGGTCTTTCTACGGTCTCATCTGACCATCACTGGGATACACCATTCATCGTATTGACTACCGTATTCTGTCTGATTTACCGTACTCTTGGCGTCGTTGTCATGTGCTTTGTACTCAACAAATATCGTCTTAACAAATTTTCAAAGGTTAGCGTTTGTTCCTATTTCAGTGTCCTTTCTTCCGATAGCTTAACGAAACAACGTTAGCAAAGTTGCCAAGAATGGCAGAAACAGGATAGGACATCAATAGTAACTGCACAGAGGATTTTATGGCGGCGTAGTGATCATCCTAATCAGGAAGTTCGGCTCGATTTCATTGAACTCAGTTTAACAACTCTTTATTGCTGATACTCGCCCCTTTATCACTTTGGACGACCCAAGGGCTTTGGGCATATTCATTTGATCCATCTTGCGAATGCTCTTTCCTTGATGTGACAGTCACGACGCACGGAAAGTACCGAATACAGTCTATTCTCTGCGAACGATGAGGTGTTGCAGGGGCCTGGTTTGGCGCGGCGCCAGCCTCCACTAATTGTGGTCTCCTGCTAGCTTCCACTTCCAAATAGTGGCAGGCTGGCACCGCGTCAAGCCCAAATCACCTGAAACCTAACGTAAACAGCGAACAAGATTGTACCAATTGAGTGCGACAATCCCTTTGTAATAAACAGGTTATTCCCATGCGGCTAACACGGCCTTCAAATTTGTCAGTACACCTCTGTGGCAGGACCCTGTGCAACTTAGGAGGGCCTCGCCACTGAATGGCAATCGTAGTATCGATTTACGAAAGAGCAAAAGCTCATTTTGACCCGAACAGTTTCGACCTAGAGCAAAGTCAACGCACCTGTAACCAAATTATATAAGCCGAATGACAACCAACCACAGCACAGTAATTTAATTGTATAATTTGAATTCAGGTTGATCAGTTTATTATGGCTTATGGCGGTCTTCGTGGTGCGATCGCTTACGGTCTTGTTGTAGCTCTGCCGAACATACCAGCCAAGAACATGTTCATCACCAGTTGTATTGTCGTCATCTACTTCACAGTCTTTTTGCAGGTGCACTTTCTGAAATTATGCATTCTTCCGGATCATCTCATTCATTTTCTGATTGTTGTGTTCTTCTAACTTTCGAACTCCCTTTTCTCCGTGGACCTTCGTACAAGAAGTACACTTTGGGGCGCATAGCGCGATCACCTGACGAGGTGAACCCATTCGTGATACACAGTAGTCCAGTTCCAATTTTGCAATCGCAGAGCTTGTATCGTCTTCATTTCTGAAGATTTTTCGAAATCCTGGTGAAGCATCGAGTTTTCTGAAAGTTGACCTCCAAGAATGGCCTGACATCCTGAGCCCGAACATCACGTACTCTTGCGTGTACATCGCAGACACGTGGCGGTTTTGCCTCCAGGAGTTCAAGCTAGCGTTGGAGACTTAATCCCAGACAAATCGAAGTGACAAGTCCGAGTCCTGACCAGAATTTCGAAAAAGTGGCCGTGAAGGGGTGAACAGTGTCCGATTTTTTTTCTCAACTTTCGTTACCCTTTTCATCCAAAGCAAATGTGGCGGTCGAGTGAGAGCACTTAATTTCAGCGTATATCGGAACTTGGAGAAGTTTCATAAAGAAGCAGAATAGTTATGAACAAAAAAGCCAAAACCGCATATGTTCTTGACCCCTGCTGTAGGCTAGTTCCGCAAACCGCTGTATAGATCATAGCGCATTCGAAGGCTACTACGATTCTATGTGGGAGTGGAACGCGCACGCTCAGTCGGAAGGGATCCATTACCAGCGAAAACTTCGTACTTCTAGCGTTTTTGATATACATAAGTTCGGTGCCGTTCTCTCAGCCATTACGAGTTCATGAATGGGCCTGTCATGAACCATTTCGTGTGGATGAGATGACAGGCTTCACCGAATGTTCTTTTCCCAGGCTTTCCACGCTCTTTATTGTGCTCCAGTTCTGTACTTTCCACCCATGTGCTCTAAAGATGCATTCAGGCATCTTTAGAGCACGTGAGGTAGAGGCGTGCCGTAGAACGACGACTTTAATCGGCCTTTTTCGGAACACTTTTGCACGCTTCAGAACGACAACGAAATTTCTGGTGTACCTAAAAAACGACAAAGTTGCTAGAAAGAGCGCGCTTTCGTCTTGTATCTGCTTTTTTTCCGCTACCGTATAAAGAGATCTTCACAACGTTACCTGTGAAAGCTTCACAATATACTACTTGGTTCTCCATCAGAGTCAACGAAAATCCCAACTGCATTTAGTGACAAAATTTTAATCTCAGGGAATCACGTCTCAAACCGACTTGCCTGAGCTTCCTGCCAGTCGAAAGAAAAATGTTCAATAAGAAATATGACCGAACACATCTATCAGGAGGTATGTCATGATAGAATTTGATGTCTTGTCTAAAAGCCCAATTCACACTTACCACGTGGGCGGAGTCACTTGGACCACTGACCATCAGCCAGCAATAAGGCTGCGTTTATACTTTGCGGCAGCGTAGCGTAGCGTAGCGCAGCGTAGCGTAGCGCTTCCAGCGTACGCCAGCGGCAGTGCCGAAGAGAGGATGCATATCGATCTAGCTTCACCAGCGGCACGCTGGCGTACGCTAGCGGCACGCTAGCGTACGCCAGCGTTTCTCCAGCGTTTCACCAGCGTTTTGCTAGCGTTTGCAGCGGCAGGGGAGTAGAGACTATGGGAGAGCTGGAGGGTACAAAACACATCGATTGCGCGTCTCTCACTCGCCCTTAGTCTCTACAATGCACATCGCTTCTGCGTCTCCGACGGCCACATAGTCTCTACAATGCACATCGCTTCTGCGTCTCCGACGGCCCATAGTCTCTACAATGCACATCGCTTCTGCGTCTCCGACGGCCACATGGTCTCTACAATACACGTCGATTCCGCGTCTCTCACGGCCACATAGTCTCTACTCCCTGCCGCTGCAAGCGCTAGCAAAACGCTGGTGAAACGCTGGAGAAACGCTGGCGTACGCTAGCGTACGCCAGCGTGCCGCTGGTGACGCTGGTGAAGCTAGATCGATATGCATCCTCTCTTCGGCACTGCCGCTGGCGTACGCTGGAAGCGCTACGCTACGCTGCGCTACGCTACGCTACGCTGCCGCAAAGTATAAACGCAGCCTAAGGCACCCTCTCGCGGGGTGCCTCGACGGAAGTTATGCTTGGCTTGCTGGGAACGGTGGTTTATAATAGTTAGTGGAACGAAATTGGTCTCTTTGGTGGCTAGAGGCGGGCTTTGAGACAAATGTTATCGGTTTTGATTTTCCTATTTCACGAATTACCCTCTCGCTCGACCGAAGTCTTTTTCGGGGATAAGCGAAGTAATTTTGTGGTGGGTTCTCGAGCTGGAAGGTTTCGGAGGATGGAAGATGAGAAAGAGAGTCACACTGTGTATTCATCAAACTTGTCGAGAAGGAGGTGTCTCCGCTTCGCGCAAAAATCAGATGAGGCGATATATTTGTGCGTGCGAGTTTTCAAACTGTCAGGGGTTATTGCTTCCGATAAATGGGACGGAGGACAGAATATGAAGAAATGCTGTGGAGTAGGAAGTTTCTCCTTTTTCAGTTGCCACAAAATTTTCTATGAAAGTCTTTCGAAAAATTAACGGAAGGATCTACCCCCGGGAGTATACCGTTTTCGCGCAATCTGTCACCTTTCAAGAAGGACGTGAATGCCTTCACGCATGAGTTCTAGAGCAGAGGATGAAAAACCTGTTGGAAACTACTAGATTTCGCCTCTTTATTTTCATTTATCTGCACTCACACTTTCGTTTTCACACGGAAATTATCCTACTAGTTATATAGTCCGCTAAGTATGTCTGTCTAGTCACAGTCTGTGTGTGTGTGTGTGTGTGCCGTGTCTGTCGTGTCACGAAATTCATAGCCGCCGCGTCCTAGTAGGCACGTAAAGAATTTGGTTTTCAAGAAGTGACTTCAGGGGGGCCCTGTAACACGGAACACAATTGGCCGGTGGCAGGAAGTGATATCAATTGATAAGATTCGATAAGAGCGTTAGAAGGGAGAGGTCACCGTATTCATTACGCGTGGTGGACAGCATTTAACAAGGAATGGTTTTTGAACTTCCCATGAAACTTTGAATGGAGACCTAGGCACATCGATAGAGTTTCGAATGCTGATTACGAATATGCAGATTAAAAGTGCTACGGGGACCTCCCAGACGAGTTCTGGGCGGTCAAAGTTTGCGAAATCCCGGTTTTGTCTCATAAGCGCTGCTGATCGCTCATTCGACAGTGTCACCGTGGCCTAGTGGTAGTGGTCTCGCTTCAAAGCCGTAATGTCGTGGGTTTGCATCCCGTTGGCGTGAAAACTTTTGCTTCGTCTCCTAAAAGAGCTTTCACTCTAATTTTCGAAATTGCTCCGAGTTTACGGCTCAGCAGAGCAAGTAGATCAAGTAGATCAAGTATTGACGTAATCGATCAAGTATGGATTTGATCGCTATCTGTCCTCTCTGAACTCATTACCCATTCGACAAATCGAGGTTTTCGCCAGAATCACAATTTGGCCGGAAACTCGCTCCTGGGTGTATTTTGACCCCCTGAAAACGAATATCATATTCGTTCGGCGAGGAAACGACCGGTCAGTTGATGTTCAGTTGGTGATCACAGCAAAGTGAAAGGCTACAAGCGTCTTCTTGCCAAAAAGTAAATGATATTCGTTCAATGAAATGATAATCGTTTTCAGGGGGCAAAATACCTCCACGAACGAGTTTTTGGCCAAATTGTGACTGTGGCCAAATCTTCGAATTGTCGGATGGGTAATGACTTCAGAGAGGACAGATAGCGATCAAATCCATACTTGATCGATTATAATACTTGATCTACTTGATCTACTTGCTCTGCTGGGCCGTAAACTCGGAGCAATTTCGAAAATTAGAGTGAAAGTTTTTATAGGAGACGAAGCAAAGTTCCACGCCAACGGGATGCAAACCCACGACATTACGCTTTGAAGCGAGACCACTACCACTAGGCCACGGTGACACTGTCGAATGAGCGATCAGCAGCGCTTATGAGACAAAACCGGGATTTCGCAAACTTTGACCGCCCAGAACTCGTCTGGGAGGTCCCCGTAGCACTTTTAATCTGCATATTCGTAATCAGCATTCGAAACTCTAACGATGTGCCTAGGTCTCCATTCAAAGTTCCATGGGAAGTTCAAACCATTCCCTTGTAAGAGCTCTTGATTCTAAGATATGATATAGGGGATGGGCCAAGAACATCATTAGTGGGTCACAAAAACTGTAAGCTGCTGATAAGATTCGATAAGGGGCGTTAGAAGGGGACGGTTACCATATTCATAACGCGGGTGACAGGTAATCTTATCAATCGATAAAACAGATAACTCTTTAGCCCGGCTTCGCCGGGCTGACCTAAAGAGAAGGAGGAGAGCTCGGCGCAAGCCGGGCGATCCGACTGGTTTAGTATAATATCTAAGGCTCACATTGGCAAAGACGTACCGGACCATCCAGTTCATATGTAGATCCCTTACGATGACGACTCGGCAAGTGGCGCTCTCCGAGTACATTTTTGTATTTTTGAAGTTCATTACTGGTCGCCCATATCTGATGACGACCGGCATCAAAATTCAGGAAACTGCAAAGTTGTAACGAAGCAGATAGTAGAGCTGGGCATTAAAAAAGAAATTGAAACTCGGTGTTGCTCAGCTAACAAAACTGATCTTTGGTCTGCCACAAATGAACTATAGGTCGAATTCCGTGAACGAGAATGTAAACGAGGAGAAGTGGAGCACAAGAGGGTAGCTGATTTTTCATATTTGTATTGCAGCTAATTGATTACACAATGTCGGGAATGGAGGATATTGCCGGATTCAAAGGACATCACTGGATCAGAGAATCGTAAGTTTCGCCTTTGTTGTGTAGGCCTTTAGTATATGAAAAGCGCTGCAGATGTAGCGCGTTGACAATTCCTGTATTGATGTATACTCCTTATCCCTGACACGGAGTAGGCGTGGCATTTGGACATGGCACAGGATGGTTACTCGTGGGATATTTCAACTTGAGACAACTGTCATCTTGTTCTTTGTTGGACAAAGACATGAATACAATTCTCTCAAGATGAGAATATCTCACCAAAAGCACAGTCACCGCCAGTTTGAGCTGAAGTACGCGGCCACGCCTCCTACCTCATCTCAGGGATTGCGAGTGTAGAGAGGGGCAATAATAGCTGCATTGCTCACAACTTACACAAAAGCACAAAAATCGTGTAAACTCCGTCTTCGACTCGGGTGCTATGAGATATTCAAAACAAGTTACGATTAGCCTTGCAGCACTGAGAGACCGATGGCTTTCGAACATTGAACGTCCATTTTGAGTTCGGTGACTCACGGCGTAGAACAATGGCACCATGAGAAAGGCGTTTTCCCGGCGCACGAGCGACATATTTGGGTTTTCTATAGGATCTTATAGAGCCTGGGGAATTCTAGCCACATTCCAACTTCGATTTAAATTCGAAAAAATCTCACCAAGTAATGAGAGCTCAACACACTAAACCGTACAGCAACGCGCCCGCTATGTTTGAAAAAAAAAAGCCTTGAAAAGCTAAAAGAAGCTCTGTCTTAATTTCACGTTCCGGTGTCAGTCCCAAATTTTCATGGCAAAATTTTCCGGTATTCAAGGCAGTTCACTTTCCATGCACGCTTATACAGTAACAGATCACATTCTACTTTTTCAATCTTTTCGAAACGATGCCAAAACCTCAGAATTGGCGTGAAGGCCATGACTACCCGATAGACGCAGCTATCCAATCTCTCTCCCAAAAAAAGCTTCTGGTTTGCATGGAGTTATGCTATGTGCGTATGAAGAGAATGCGAAACTGGAACACCCATCGAGGATCCTCACCTAAGCTGACGGCCACACATAAACAGAAGCCACACGAAAACGCACATTAGAAGTGCCCCTTCAGGTAGAACCGAGCTTCTGGATAGCAGCTATACAAAGCAGCGAAATATCTCATCCTTAAAGACACAACCAGTTGAATTCAATCTTATACGATAGGAACAGCCTCAAAGGGAATAAAGGAGCAGTTCTGTAGGGGAGCATTTCGCACTTTCGCTGCTTCACTGGTTCCGCTCTGCTCTGCGTACGAGTCTCGCTCTGCTTCGACCCGTGAACTCTTCTGTAGCTGGAGTAAGCCCGTCGAGCCATAATGGTAAAGCCTGTTAACCCTTGTAAGCTCATGAAGTAGCTGTCCAGATGGGTCGATAGTCGATGGGAAGTAAAAAAAGTGCAAAAGACCCCCTCGCCTGACTGTCCGGAAAGCTGAAGACAGTTCTGACCAATGAAGAAAAACTGCTTACTCACGATAGGCGTTCTTCTTTGTATATGGTACCTCTTCCCACGTGTCCACACGGATCGCTGAACCACAAGATGACTTCTGACACCCTTCGAAAGTAAGACCAACAATCCACCCGCCTACAGCGCTTTCTGCATCTTGAAAGAGGACACATCCTATTTCTCCTTCCATCCGATTCCCCTCCTGACACCTGACTCCTTTAAGTTGAACGTGTTCAGACTTCTCGAAACTGCCTCGAGGTGAGCCTCGAACTCTGCTTCATATTTGCACATCTCGCCCATGATCTATAGAAGAACTCAAAAGCGATTAATATCCTTTCAGGTTCCAGTATGTCAATAATAATTATCTGAAGCCTATTCTTGTGAATCGAAGAAGTATGAAGCAGATGGACAACACGAAAATTGTGCGGATGTTCGAGCGCTTGCAATTACAAGATGCAAAGGATCTTGTCAAGGTGAGATATTGCATTATAGCGAATTCTCATCTGCAAGTTTAATTTCACAAAATCTGGACTCTTTCAGGGAAAAGGTGATTTCAGTAAAAATCAGATATTCGTGCAGACGCTCATCGACCACACTCGAAGCCGAAGCCGAAGCAATACAACCGGGTACGCTGAGCCTTTATTATTCAAGGTGGCCTATAGTCAAAGAGGAAATAAACTTCAGTTCGCTGCGAACGAAGGGGTGTCAGACAGTACGAGTGTGCCACGGCGCCAAACCCGTTCTCTGCCAGTTGTTGAAGCGGGTATGCGACAACAACTGGTGGAAAACGAGTGGCCATATGATCAGGGCACGCCATCGCGTTGTGATCATTTTCCGCTGAATACGACCCCCCGAAATAGGGTTCCTAATACGGCCCCCTGTCACGAGGGTACAAATGAAAAGAAGCGCAAAAGGGACGAAGAAAATGACAATAAAGAGAACTGGGCACTATTGAACTATTCCTACGCCAAAACTCAAAAAAATTTATGCTGAAACTTTATCTATAGATGTTATTCGATGTCCTGATCACCAGTATGACATCATTCTCCATACCAAAGCTATTTAGCGCTCTGCTGAGGCTGAAACTGGGAAAAAAAGGAAAGATTTCCCTCAGGCCAGGCTCAGTCTTAGCAAAGCGCAGATGACCATAGTGTCCTACGTTAGCGCTGGCGCCAAGAATAAATATCATATTCGTAATCAGGATGTCAAATAACCCCCGTATACAAGTTTTCATCGATTTTGGTGATTTAGGGTATTTTGGCCCCGGCGCCTGTGGCGCGGCGCCAAAATACCCTAAATCACCAAAATCGATGAAAAGTTTCGGGCA